AATAAACCAACTGAGATCAGCTGGAAGAGACAATCTGCAGCAATCGCGAAGCAGTTCACATGAACAGTGCATCCAGACAACAAGCAGCAGAAAAGCAACATGAGAACCCCCACAACAGCATTAAAGAAACAGATGTTGCCTGAAAAACCAGCAGGAACAAGGGAAACCAGCAGAGTCCTCCAAACTGAAAGCACCACATCACAGAGAGAACCAGTTGGAAAGAAAATCAGCTGACTAGAGCAAAACCAGCTAAACAGTCCAATGACCATAAACCATGGCAGCCTTAGCAAAAGCCCCATCATGTGAAATGGATCCATAATATAGGTAAAAAATCACAAAAATGGCGCACTTTTTCCTTGGCGTTTTAACACCTTGTTGATCCTGCATCTGGATTAATTTAGCCCGGAGAGGAATCTTTAAATCAAGTGTGAAATCCGAAGAGGTACCCTCCAAAACAGCAAATCACAAATTCTCCAAAACTTCCAGGCCCTCATGTGCCCTTTCATTATCATTTGAACCATCATGGCCGAATCAGTTTCAATCTGAAGATTATAATTTAGAAGTCCATAACTTCTAAATAGCAATAAACCATCCTTGAGAGCATGCAACTCAGCTTCCGTGTTGGAACACACCTCGTAAAAAAAAGAAGCAGCCAGAACTATGTGCCCCAAGTCATTCCTTACCACAGCTCCGCCCCCAGCTCTTCCAGGATTTTCTTTCGATGCCCCATCCACATTTAGCTTTAAAATGCCCGAAGGAGGAAGGGACCAGTTTATGCAAATAATTTTTTGTTTCAGCTCATGCCTCAGCTCTACCTTTAATGCCCTCAAGAATTCCATACCAATCATGCCTTCCTTATCTTTAGGTCTAACGCCATAAGCCTGAAGACGCAGAGTGGAGCAGATATCTAGAAACACAGCATAGGCCGAGAGTGAGCTATCTTCATAGACCCTTCTGCATCGCTCCCTCCATAATCTCCAAATTACCACCAGTGGAACACCTCTTAACAAGTTCTGACTTACAGAGTGTTTTTTAAAAATTTTGATCAGTCTCATCATACAAACCAAAGGATTCAGCGGAGAAAACCTGAAAACCACGAAATGCAGCCAGTTTCCCCCAAACCTCTTTATCAAAGTTGCATTGTATGAACAGGTGAGAAGTAGATTCCACAGCCTTGTAACGTAGAGAACATCTGCTGGCCAAATCAACACCGACCCGTTGGAAGTTTGAGTCCTCTACTACTGCTTTCTGATATATCTTCCAGCCCAGCAGTTTTGCACTTGGGAAAACCGATTGGTTCCAGATCACAGAGGTCACAGGCACAGGGACACTCGAAGCTCTCACTGCCTCCCAAGCAGACTTGACATTGGACTCTCCCGAATCAGTTAATTTCCATATCAGTCGATCTTCTTTTTCGCTTAAACAAATCATAGAATTCTGTACTTCATGCTTTAACTGTTCAGATACCTGCACCCCCAAACTTTGCCACTGCCAGCACCCATCAGCCCATAACTCATCCAGGCATGGAAAACACGAGGGAGAAACGGCATACCTGAGCAGAAGAGGGCCAGATCCAGTCCAGTTCGAACACCAAAAGTCAACATTCTTCCCATTCCCCACCATGACCTGTGAGTTGGTCATAATCAAGCTAAAGAAAGGTTGCAGCATTCAAAATATACGCATTTTTCCAGCACCCGTGCATCGCATCAAGTGATTGCCTCTTAAGAATTTTTCTCTAAACATGTTTGCCCACAGAGAGTCGCCCTTAAGAATACCCCATGCCTGCTTCCAACGGTATGCCGTTTGGATATCTTCAAATTTACGAATCCCTAGGCCCCCCCTCTTGCTTGGGTCTTGTAATTACAGACCATGAAACCCAATGCCTTTTCCTCTCCCCCATCCTGCCTAGCCACATAAAGGAGGCCATGAGAGAATTCAACTTTGCCAGGATGCCTTTGGGCACGCTTAGACAAGCGAGCAAATGAATAGGAACAGAATTAAGGACTGATTTAATCAACACAATTCTGCCCATGTTTGAAAGTAAGCGTGCGTACCACCCTTCCATTTTGGCTTTGAATTTTAGGACCACATCCTCAAAATCCCGCAGTTTATATCTTCCTCTTATCATGGGGCATCCCAGGTAGACGAAGGGACATTGTTTTATTGGAATTTGAGCAATTCTGGATAGAGTCATTGTCCTGCCCCGAGGAATATTGGAGGAACATATGAAAGAGCTTTTATGTTTACTTATCCTCTGTCCAGAGCTATCCTTGTATCTTGCCAAAAACCTCATCAATCATTCCATGGAAAGTTTATTACCCCTAAGAAACAGTAGAGTATCATCTGCAAAAAGCAGATGAGAGACAAGAAGTGCATTCCTCCCTGCATGAAAAGCCTTGATTCTGCCTTCACCATACAGCTTCAACAGTCCTCTACTTAAAACCTCCTCTGCCAGAATAAAGAGAGCCGGAGAAATTGGGTCACCTTGTCTCAGTCCTCTAGACGAAGGAAAGAAACCGAATCTTTTCCCATTCAAGCAGACCGAGAAAAATTGATTCTTTAAGCAGTTGCCAATGATAGAAATGAACAAGCTTGAAAAGCCAAAACAAGTCAAGGTTCTTTTCAAAAAATCCCACTCTATGCGATCGTACGCCTTTATCATATCCAGTTTAAGAATCACGTTGCCAGCCTCAACTTTCCTATCAAGCTCTACCACCATTAACTGAGCTAAAGAAATACAGTCCCCAATCCCTCTCCCTTTGACAAAACCATGCTATGCATTTGAAATCAGAGATGGAAGAAGGGAAGCAAGTCTATTGGATAGGATCTTAGTGAAGACTTTGTATAAAAAATTGCATAGACTTATGGGCCTGAACTCTGAGAAAGAACAGGGCTTCAACACTTTTGGAATCAAAACGAGGAGTGTGGGGTTGACCGATCTTGGGACCACTCCCCCACTTAAGAAAAAGTTAACCGTTTCTAACATGTCATGTTTAATAATATCCCATGCAACTTGAAAGAATCTACCAGAGAAACCATCAGTTCCAAGGGCGCTTTCCACAGATATAGAAAGCACAACCTATTTAACTTCAATTAAGGTGGCAGCCATAGTCAAATTCTCGTTGTCAGTTGGTCCAACAAGCTCAGGAATGACCCCAAATAACTCTTCATCAAGGGTATGGTTTTTAGACTTGTACAATTTAGTAAAGAAAGTGACAGCCTGATGAGAAATCTCCTCCTCAGAGCTACAAGAAAGTCACATACAAGAAAGTCATTTATTTGTTATGGGTAGAAGCGAACAATTGGTATGTGAAGGATGGAAGTAAATATAGAGATGTGGTTGAGAGAAAAGGAGGTTAGGAAACCAAAAGTTTAAAAATGGAGATGTGTATGATTAATGTCACAAATGTTTGGTATTTAAATTCAATGGTGATCTTGGCATTTTCAAAATTTTGGAGGACAAAAGTGTCTAAAAAATGTTTTTCATATATGTTGATATTTTATAGTAGTATAGATATAGATATTTTCTTAATAAAATCCGGAGTAACCTAAGTATAATTATTATGGTTTTAAACTCATGTTTCTCATTTTATGGGAATCAGGGTGTGACACACACTAGATATTGATATATGCTTAAATATTGCTTTAAATCTCGATCATTGAATATTATGATTATGTTCAAACCTTTGTTCTAGTCAAAATGAAGTCCTTGTTCAAAGTGTAAATAAAACATATATTTGTACTAGCAATGCGCCACGTGCGTTGCACGTGACTAATTTTTTTAAAAAAAATTTAATAAATAATTATTTGGTATATATGTTTGAATTAAATATCATCTCAATTTTACCAAATTTATTTTTTCATTGCTCATGCTCCATTATAGAATTTTTGAAAATTTTGTATATTTTCAAGATTGGTTATTCTAACTTTAAGAAAAATGATCGGTTATTATTTGATATAACATAGTTTAAAAAGTTTACTATAACTAAAAAATTATATAAAACTATATATACATTATTTTTTTCTTAAAAATAAAATGGTTTTGATGAAAAATAAAATATACATACTTAGTCATAATATTATCTTTATAAATGAGATGAGTAATATTATATTAATGGAGTTTTTGAAGGTTTTTTTTTAATATTTTGTTAAAACTTATAATAATGCATATATTTTTGAAGAGTAATATAATAAGTCAAAAAGTTTCATAAAAATTGACATTTATAAATAAAGAATAAATAATTAAAAAATTAATTTGATTAAGATTTTACTTATAAATCATTTAATAAAATAAAAATAATTATCAATAAATTAATCATATTGGAACCTTAAGATTATCTAGGTCAATTGTGATAAAATTTAATATACAATGCTATAATCTATATAATAAAGTAGAGTTGAGTTTGAATCCAAGAGACAGAGTGGTTCAGATCGTTTTGAGACAAAACATAAGCACATCCGACGGACAATGTAATCTCAACATAAAAGACGGTTCAGATCATTTCAAAAATTTTGATCTAACGGTATATTGTGATTACCGAAATTAGTTTCCCCGCCCAACAAAATTCCTGTTTTAATTATAAGGGCTTTTTGCTTGACTGACGCCCCAGTCTCCTCTGATTCCCCCATATCTTCCCCTAAAATCTCTCTCAGAATCCTTCTCAATCTCATCCTCTGCCTTCCAAACTCATCCCCCAAAATCTTCCCCTACTCATCCCCAAAATCTCCAAAATCTCTCATGCCCAGCTCATCCCCAAAATCTCTTACGCCGAGGTATCTCAGTAATTGCTCTAACAATTTGTCTCCTCCCTTTCTCTCTGGAGTCCAACTCCGGCGACCCAAATATTCCAACATTCACCACAACTCTCACCATGCTTTTCCTAAACCCTTTTTTTTTTTTTTTTTGAAAAAAAGGAGGATATATTGAAATGAGCAGAAATTACAAGAAGCAAGGAAGCCGGGCTTTAACAAAAACAAGGAAGCCAATGTGGCATAAACCATCAAAAAAGAAAAGGACATAAAATGGGACATGAAGGCCAGCAAAAGCCAGCTGAGAGTCCAGCTGAAGATCCAGAAAATTCAGCTGGAGGAAAGCTGGAAACCCAAGAGACAGCAACTGCGAGATGATGAAAACCATGAGGAATGAACATAAGCCCAGAACCAACACAGCAACTGAGAGCCCGCTGAGAACAAATCCCCAGCTGACTGCCGAAGGAAGCAGCAACAGAGAAACCCACAGCAGCAGACCAATAGCCAGCGTCAAGCAGATGAAAGAACCGCTGAGAGACCATGAGAAAATCAGCAAAACCAGCTGAAGAAAAAGAGACCAGAGGTGGCCAGCAGCAGCGACAAGAAAGCTGTGCACATGAACCATTGACACCATCAAAACAGCACAGCAATCACAGCAGCAAGTGGAGCCCATAAGAACCAGCAGAGAACCACAAAGAAATCATGGAAAACCAGCTGGAAACCCGTTGAGACCAGCTGGAAATCCAGCTGAAAACCCTCTGAGCAGAACCGTGGAAAGCCTTCAATGTTTACCAAAGATAAAGTCTGATAAAACCAGCTGTAGCAACAAAATGAGCCACGATCCCCAGCTGAAATCAGCACAAAATCCAGCTGAGATCCAGAAAAAACCAGCTGAAAGAGCCCATCAGTAGCCGCAAACAGGCTGTCCATGTGAACAGTAGCGTGAACAGTGTGTCATGACCAAAACCAGTTGAAAACCATCTGAAAATCACCCACAGCAGCTGCAATATCAGTAGAGGTCAGCTGAGAAAAACCGCCAGCAGCAGGAAGCAGACTGTTCACGTGAACAGTCGCGTGAATAGTACTCCCTGACCAAAAACAGCAAAAAAGCCACCGGAATGTCCCCCCCAGCTGCATTTAATGTACAAATGTTGCCTAAGCTTCCCAGCAGGGTAAAGGAAGCAAACACACCAGCTGCGAGAAGCCAAGCAATGAGAAACAAAAGCCCCAGCCCGATTGGATGATTCATAAGTAAAAACCAAAGAATCAAAAATTAGTAAACTTTTTCCTTGACGTTTTAACACCTTGTTGATCCTGGATCTGAATTAATTTTGCCCGGAAAGGAATCTTCAAATCACGTGTGAAATCCGAAGAGGCACCCTCCAAAACAGCAAGGTTTGCAAGACAGTCAGCTAAGCAATTTGCTTCCCTGTATACATGAGCCAAACTAAAATTCATGCCCTTCAATAACTCCATGATCTCATCACAAATCTTCCAAAACTTCCGGGCCCTCATGTGCCCTTTCATCACCATTTGGATCATCACCGCTGAATTAGTTTCAATCAGAAGGCCACAATCTAACAGCCCATAACTTCTAAACAACAATAAACCATCCTTGAGTGCATAAAGCTCAACCTCCATGTTTGAACAAACCTCATAGAAAAAAGAAGCAGCCAAGACAATGTGCCCCCATTCATTCCTTACCACAGCTCCAGCCCCAGCTCTTCCAGGATTTCCTTTCGATGCCCCATCCACATTTAGCTTTAAAAAACCGGAGGGAGGAGGGGACCAGTTAATCCAAATAATTTTTGGTTCCAGTTCCTGCCTCATCTCCACCTTTAAGGCCCTCAAAAGATCCATCCCCATCATGCCTTCCTTTGCCT